ATATTTCTCTAGAAGTAACCTACTCTGTGCTCTGCATCCTGCCCCCCAGAGCTCTCACGGTCCTCTCTTGTCTTTCCAGGTGCTTCACTGGGCGCAGAGTAATGCGGATTTTGTTATTCCCCTCTACTGCTTCGACCCGCGGCACTACCTGGGCACCCACTGCTACGGCTTCCCGAAGACAGGGCCCCATCGGCTCAGGTTTTTGCTGGAAAGCGTAAAGGATCTAAGGGAAACGCTCAAGAAAAAAGGAAGGTAGTTGAGAAAGCACGGTGCAAGTAACACGTCTTTTCCTATTCGTTTTCAGCACGTGTCTGTGCTGCGAGTCAAATCATGTCTGGGCTCTGATGATGGCTTGTTTCAGAGCCACAGCCCTCCTGTTAGGTACACTAAGGTCCCATACGTAACCCGCTGTTCAGACGACCTCCCCTAGCATCTGCAAGGGAGACATGAGCCATGCAGGCTTTGTGCCATTCGGGGTTTGGCTTTCTTGAACTCAGATGCCAGAGATGGGTGTCAGCCTTCAGCTCTTTGCGCAGAGTCCTGATGACTGGAGACATGAACAGCAGTCATCTGAAATGTAGTTGACAACACTAGCCACTGTGACATGTGTCCTTCCTTGTCCCTAGCAAGTCTTCCCTAGGAGGTGACTTGAGACAGACGGTTATGGACCTGGCTTGTAAGACCCAAGAGTTAAGTTTGCTCGTGCACTATCCCACTAAACCCAACCTCTTTGGCAGGCTACACTGTGGGCAGGGGGTCTTCAGGGATTCCTCCTTTGTTATGCCTTTAGAAACCATAACTGGAGTAGACCAGGGCCTGAAGGTCTACATGCTGAAGAACCCCATTACCAGATAGCATCTGGCTCTGCTTAGCAGAAGATGCATCAGCCAGTTTGTCTTCTCCCAGAGCAACATAACAGTGGTAGCAGAAGCAAGAGGAATGGCTCTAGGTTTGCTGTGCATTGTGGACTTTGCAGATGGTGAATGTTATAACAGACTGAAAGAACTGATCAGTAGGTATCTGCCTCCACACCCTGTGGTGAACAGATTCAGAGCTGCTTGGGTGCTGCTGTGCAGTTGTCGGTGGCTGACAAGAGACTGATCTTCTGTAGTGAGAGATGTGTGGTTGTGAAGAGCCACACTAAGACCTAGGCTCCATTTCCACAGCCATGAAGTATCTTCTTAATGCAGCGTCAGACAGAAATCTCCACATCCAATCTGTCATGTTCTCTGTGGGCAGCTTTGTCTCTGCTTTTCTGTGAGAAGGCAAATAGCTCTTGGCAGCACCCCTTGCTCCTGCCTTCTTCATCTTTGAAGAATACTTTTCAGTTATGCTTTAAGTTATCCTGGTAGAAATACTGTGTTACCCCTTCAAGAAATTGTTCTGCAGCACAGGCCTCTGTTACATGATGCAGTAGTATATGTGTGTGTCTGTGTAAGCGAGGGGAGACAGGGAGATGGACAGAGTCACGTATGAGGCTGCCCACAGAACTCTGACCAACTTTCTCACCACAGCTTCTCTTCTGCTCTGGTGCCCTGGGTACACAGCTGGGCAGTTGGCGAGGTTGCAAGGTGGGAGGGAAGTTTTGTTGACTCCTGCAGACACTCAACATTCAGAGAAGAGAATTCCTCTGAATACTCCCACATGAAAGTGGAAAGGGATCTGCCCACAGGCCACCACTACCTGTGAAGTGGTTTGAAAAGAATCCATTCTTGAATCTCAGCCTCTGTGTGTGATGATGAACAGATCTGACAGATTTACTATTAGGTAACAGCCTGGCTTTCTGCCCGGTCAACCTTTCTAAGGCATCCAGGGTGGTAGAAATGTGTTTGACACAGTCAGCCTCAGAGGCTTACAGTGGGTCCTAAAAAATGTAGGCTAGTCAAATCCTGTCTGTCTGCCTCCACATGCTGTCTGTGCTCCATAGAGAACTAGCACATGGGTGCCTAGGCCAGAACCAGGGCCTCCTGTGCACATAAATAACGATAACATCAAACTTAATTCAGGGCAATATTTTGTGTTTGCAGTACGCTGGTTGTGAGGAAGGGGAAGCCGGAAGATGTGGTCCGTGAGCTGATTACTCAGCTGGGCTCTGTCAGTGCTGTGGCTTTCCATGAAGAGGTAAGGGAAATATTGAAGTGACATCGTTAAAAAGTAAAAATAGGTTGTGGGAGTTTCTTCTACAGCCAAATGGTGATGCGGGTCCTGTGCACTCAGAGACCTTCTTATCTGTGGTATTGTTAACCTTGGGGGAACTGGCTGGCTTCTGGGACAAGAGTGGTGTAGGGGTCCGGGTGGGAGTGCCTGTCAAGGAAGAAAGGTTTCTGGCAACCGGTATCTTAGGTCAGCAGAGTCCATTTCTCCTCTTGCTTGCATCAAGCTGCCTTTTCCTGGCACCTTCCTTGCACAGGGAGCTAGCTGCCAAGGGGCATGTTCTGTTAAGTATAGAAAAGGCCCACGGGGAGCTGGCAGCACCCATATTTAGGCAGTTGCCCACCAGTGTGTTGAAGAAAGAAAGTTAAGTCCGGTCCTGGACTGCTGATGGGGTTGGTGTGTCACTGACCTGTCTTCACTGAGCTAAGTGGTTTGATCCACAGCCTGCTGAATTCAGTGGAGGGCTCTGGGTCCAAACCAGTGGTCTGGAGGCTTTGAGTACACACATCTATGCGTATACAGGTACATAGATGCACTCAGTATTAGCAGAGTCTGGACCTCAGAGCTGTCCAATGCAGGAATCACTGTGACCTGCACTGCAGGTATTCCTGTTGTCAGGCCTACAACTCTTGTAACATGACAACCTACACATCCTATAGTGCCTTACTCCATGCAGCACTATGAACAACCACAGAGGATCAGACGCAGGGCCTCATCCGACTCCATAGCCTTTTTTCTGACAGTGACCAATAACAGATGCCCAGCAGCTGGACAATTATGTAAAGATACTTCTCCTGCATACTTTTCCAGCCTCCCAAGAATCTGTGGCTCAAGTACTTCTTGAAATAGAAATGCTATCCGAATATTCAATAACCCTCAGTGCGTTTTTTTATTTAACACATATTTGTCCAGACACCTTTCCAGTCCAAGCAAACTTAAAAAGATCTGCAATGTCCTACACCAAGGAGTTCCTTATTTTGGCATTGGCACTTGTAATGGAGAGCGAAAATGCTTGTTGGGGAAATACTCAGAGGTTGTGTCCACCTCTCTCCAAAGGGCTGAGGCTAAATGCAGAGGTGCGGGGGGAGGGCAAGACCAGGGACCGGGGTCTGTGTGCATGTATGAGCTGAGGCCGTGCAGCTGTGGCCTGACTGTGTTTTGTTCCCCCCAGGCCACACAGGAGGAGCTGGACGTGGAGAAGGGGCTGTGCCAGGTGTGTAGTCAGCATGGAGTGAAGATTCAGACACTCTGGGCATCCACGCTGTATCACCGGGACGACCTTCCCTTCAGGCCTATTGCCAGGTAGGTTGCTCCATGGGATCACTCACTCCTGCACTGTCCCATTTGCTTCTCACTCCAGCGAGCTGCTCAGGAGGGGTCTTAGTCATCTGATCCGGGTGCAGGGAAGGGATCCATTAGTCCATTTGTATTCATGAAACAATGCTGTCATGCTTGGTACACATCAAGGGGAAGGGGCACATTCATCCCTCTCTACTAGTAGGATTTACACTTCGATATGCATGAAGCTGAGGGTTTTGTTCGACCATTTACTGAGGGACTGATTTCTCTTTGCCCGTCACCAGCACGGTTTGGGTACTCAGTGTGCAGTGCCCAGAGTCCTTGTGTCATGGGTCTGGATTGCTCTCCATCTGGCTAACTGCAGCTGCCTGTGACAGTAGCCCTTTGCACTGGGATTCGTGACTCTCTCGATAGTCACCTGAGGTGTAGTTGATGGGGTTGAGTTGTTCATGGAATCCTATAGAAAATGTATAAAATTGGGCAGAAGAGTCAGGCCATTAAAATGCCTGCAGATTTTTACGTTGAGGTCAGCCTTGTGGGTAATCAGAAGTTAGGTGAGAGAAATCCGACCGTTATGGAATGCCCCATCAGGACATCCCTTAAATTGAAAAGGCTCTATTTGCATCAGAATCAGAAAGAAATTGGGTGAAGGACCGAAATTCCTATTGCTGCTACCCCCAGGGCTTCTGCCTCTTTTGTCCCAGGTGTTGTAAAAACATGCATCACAAATATGCCCTCAGGAGAGTGCAGCCCGGAGAGCTAACCCTCCATCTGGAGAAGCTGTGTGGTGCTGTGTGGAGGGGCCAGGGTAGCCATCCTACAGAGATCTGACTACTCTGTTCATCCGTGCAGGTTGCCCGATGTCTACACCCATTTCCGAAAAGCGGTGGAATCTGCGGCAAAGGTCCGGCCAATGCTGCGGATGGCAGATCAGCTAAAGCCTCTGGCTCTAGGGGTGGAGGAAGGGTGTATCCCTACAATGGAGGATTTTGGGCAAAAGGGTAAGAAAACTTAATTTGGCAGTTGCTTCCATGAAATCCTGCTTAGAGCTGTTTCTTACTGAGAATCAAAACATGGAGGCCTCCCAAAGGCAGTCATTGCCCTTCAAACTGTAACTGAAACTCTGTTCACTCATACAGCAAATGAAGGTAAATTCCCTGCAGGGAGGAGCTACCCTGCAGCGGGATAGAAAACATCCCCTTAGTCAGTCATTTTTAATATGTGTGGCCCTTCTTTTAAAGGAAGACCAGGCCACAATCTTTTATGCCCCCAAAGCAGACATCCCCATGCTGGACATCCCTAGATCTTCAGCTTCCTGCCTTCGCGATGCTTTCCGAGGGGGTAACAAGGTGATGGTGTTTTCTGTGGCAGATCCTGTGACCGATCCACGAACAGCCTTCCCCTGCAGTGGAGGAGAGACCCAGGCTTTAATGAGACTGCAGTATTATTTTTGGGAAACGGTAACTACTACATTTCCTTGTCTGCATCCTCCCCCTTGTACACATGGCTGTGCAAGTGGGTGAGGCTGCAATTCCACTTCCTAATATTTCCTTAGCTCCTGTGTAACACTTCATAAAGGCGGGAATTAGCATTATTTCAATTTTTTCAGAGAGACAAACTAAATAATACAAAAAAGAAGTCATCCAGGAAGTGGGAGTGTAAGCCAAGTACTTAGGAACCTAGTTTAGTGACCAGCTCTTTTAAGTCTTCTTTTCCATTAACTTTTGGGAATTGGGACAATTTTTTTAGCTCCTTTACCTTGATTTACCCTTTCTACTCTCCTGTCCCATGTCATCAGCAATGTAGGTCCTCGATTTTGGAGGAATAAGTGGCCTGAAGGGCTGCAGTTGCAGTTGGGGTGAGGAACAACCGACTCGCGCTGCTGCCCGCAGTTAAAAATAGTAGGACATTCCTAGTAGTCTAGTTTAAAAACTTGCAGCCAATAATTACAGCAACTTCTTGCTCCCTTGCTTTGGTGGAGTGAAGCTGCTGCTGACTGCATTTTGTCTGTGCATCCTCACCATTTCTGAACTTTTTCCTGGTCTAGTTTGAGAAAATGCCTTAGTTTTGCCTTGTGTGAATTTAGATGAAGTGTGCTGATTTCCAGTGGCATCAGACCCTATGCAGCTTTGTGGATAACGGGGGTAGCATCTCTCCAGCTGAGATGGGTTAAGAAGTGTCCTGTGGCCAGTGCTCACTGGGACAGCCATGGGAGATTTTCAGCCCTATTCCTGCATTCCCTAGCTGTTGGGCAGCATTTTCAGGGTTTCAGCCCAGTGGGAAGCTCAACCCCATGCAGCCGCTCCCTCACTCCCCTGCAGTGGGATGGGGAAGAGAATCAGAAGGGTAAAAGAGAGAAAACTTGTGGGTTGAGAGAAAACACTGGGCTAATCAGTGTTTTCTCTCTGAAAGGACAAGGCACTACTGGAGAGAGTCCAGCTCAGGGCCACTAAGATGATGAAGGGCCTGGAGCACCTTCCATATGAGGAAGGGCTGAGAGCTGGGTCTGTTTAGCTTGGAGGAGACTGAGGGGGGATCTTATCAATGTTTGTCAATATCTAAAGGGTGGGTGTCAGGAAGATGGGACCAGGCTCTTCTCAGTGGTGTCCAGTGACAGGACTGGGGGCAACGGCCATAAACTGGAAAACAGAAGGTTCAACCTGACCGTGGGGAAACCCTTCTTCACGGCGAGGGTGACAGAGCCCTGAACATGCTGCCCAGAGAGGGGGTGAAGTCTCCTTCCCTGGAGACTTTCCAAAGCTGCCTGGACTTGTTCCTGTGTGATCTACTCTAGGTGATCCTGCTCTGGCAGGAGGGTTGGATGAGATGATCTCTAGAGGTCCCTTCCATCCCCTACCACTCTGTGAAGCTGTAAAGACAGTTAAATGAGTAAAACAAAAGCTGTGCACAAGCAAAGCAAAACAAGGAATTCATTCACCGCTTCTCATGGGCAGGCAGGTGTTCAGCCATCCCCAGGAAAGCTGGGCTCCATCACACGTAGCAGTTAGTTAGGAAGATCATAACTCTGAGCATCTGCCCTTCCTTCTTCCCCCAGCTTTATATGCTGACCATGACGTCATATGGTGTGGGATATCCCTTGGGTCAGTTGGGGTCAGCTGTCCCAGCTGTGTCCCCTCCCAGGTTCTTGTGCACCCCCCTTAGTCTCCTTGCTGGTGAGGCAGGGTGAGGAGCAGCAAAGGCCTTGACTCTCAGCCCCGCTCAGCAGTCACAGAAACATCCCTGTGTTGTCAACGCTGTTGTCTGCACAGTTATTGATCCAGAGTCAGACAGGTGGGGGCAGAGAACAGCACAGCCAGGTTCATAGTGCCTGTAGAAAGAGATGTGCTGCTGGCTGCAGCGGGGAGCGAAGCTTGTGACAGTGCGTCCCGGAGCTATAATGAAAACTGCTGGCCCGATTCATTCCTGTGCGCTGGAGGCAGTATCTGGCAGCCCTGTAATCCTTGCAGGCCGCCGTGAGGGGGAGCCCAGGCCTGCCAGATTGCCCTGGCTCCAGGGTGAAAGGAAGCGTGTTTAGCAGCTTGCATGTGAAGTAGTAAAACCTTTTGTTCCTTTACCTGCGCAGAACCTGGTTGCATCTTACAAGGAGACTCGGAATGGACTGGTGGGAATGGATTACTCAACTAAATTTGCACCATGGTAAAGATTTTTGTCTGCTCCCATCCCAAACGGATGTTACCTGTCCACTGAGTGCTCAGTGGGCATGGGTAGGGGTTTGGGTGTGATTCCCTTGCTCTTCTTGTTGAGGTAGAGCAGCCTCAGAGCTGCTCTTTATTGTGTTTCCAGGCAGTGGTTCCTTGGGATCATTCCTGCAATCAGGAATTGCTGAAGTGTAGCAGTACTGTGCCAAGAGCCCAGTGCGCAGGGAGCAGTGATATGGACGGGGCAGTGGACAGACACGCAACTTGCCTTTGGCTTTGTGCTGTTTTGTGTGCCTGGGGTGGTTGAGAGCAGCCAGGGAAGGAACGTAGCTTCACCGTGTTGGTGGGACTGCAGCAGAACTCGACCCAGGCCTGGTTTGCTGAGTGCTGTGGGGCAAGTCACCTCACCACCACTCTGTTTTTCTGTGGGGTAAAGAGATGCTTCTGGTTATTCCTATTGCAAAAGCGTGTCTTGATTGGGTAAATGTGATGGCTTCTAATTAAGGAGTTTAGTCTCCAGGGCTGAAAGGTGCAGAGTTAATTCCAGACTGAAACTGCAGCAGCAGAAATCAGTTCAGCCTAATGCTGGAGCATTAGGAGCTCTGCATCTGGAGCATTTTCCCCGACAGAATTGCAATAGGAAACAAGTTTCTGAGGCTGTTTAGAGCTCAGGATTTCTTATTTTCAGCCTGCTTTGTGCTGCCACGGCTGCAGTGACTGCAGTGTCTGGCTCCACCTGCTGGTACTGTGGCATCCCAGGACTCCTGGCACTGCAGAAGTTTTATCGGTGGGAGCCTCCTTGGGTTTTTTTTCAAGCTGGCCGTTTGTCCAGAGCAGACAGTCCTGATCTGCCTGCGCCACAGTGTTCCTCTGTCAGAGAGTCAAAATCAGACCGGTTCAAACTGCAGCCACCTCATACTGGTGATTCTTACTTCTAAGTGTTAGAGCTGGTCAGTTAAGGGGAAATTCTTCAGGCCCTTTCTTCCTGTTTTCCAAAATTCGTTAGAACATCAGAGCTTTCAACGAGCCCTAGTGGGAAACTGCAGTAAAATACATTTCTAAGAAAATCAAGGTTAAAGTTGTTTCTTATCACCCTTTGCCATGGGGTTGGATTCCACAGGCCCTTTCCTGTCTTGCACAGCACTGATTTGGAACAAATGAAAGGACCTGGGTGGGTTGAAGTGCCAGAGCTGGGTTTGGTTCCCTAGTTTTCCTACCCTGCCTGAGATATTCAGCAAGTCACTTGCCTTCTGTGGTCGCCGAAATGAGACACTAAGCCAAAGGAGCCAAGGGCATATGATCAGTGGGTTTGTGGTAAGAAGAGGGCAGCTAAGGCAGAAGATGCAGAGGTTGACCTTTGAGATCTGTTTCTGGATTTGTCCTTGGTGCACTAACTCAGCAGCTGATTGAGACTTTCAGGCAAAGCTTGTCAGACTTGTGTAAAATGAACTCTGGGAAGGGGAGGATTTTGATTCTCGGGTTGAGGAGTTGCATAGAAGCCGTGCAACTTGACTAAAGCCGTTTGGGAAGTCAGCGGCATAACTGCAAACCAAGCAAAAGTTTTCAGACAACAGCTCTAAGCACAAAACTGCCCCTCCTCTCCCTCCGTGCAGCCATCACGCTGCCCGGCCCGCACTGCCTTCAGAACATCATTCTTCTGCTTTCAGGCTGGCGCTGGGCTGCATCTCGCCTCGCTACATCTATGAGGAGATCCAGAGGTATGAAAAAGAGAGAACAGCAAATGCGAGCACGTACTGGTACGTCCCTGCACGGTCACCGTGGCTTGTTTTCTCTGCAAAGGAAACTCACGCACAGGAGGAAGTGATTGGTTAACTTTCTTCTTAATTAGTTTGTTTTTCCTGTGCCTGCTGTCTGGTTCCTCTGCGTTGCATTGCAGCTCTCTTTCAGTACGGATTTATTAGTCTGCCTTTGACATCCAGAGGCTTTAGGCAATTTCTAGAGTAAAGATTGTTAATGGTAGTTGTCATTATTATTGCTGGGAAATTGTGGTTAATGATTTTTAAAACTGATCTCTGTAAATCATCGCCATCCCTCTCTGTATTGTTATTATGGGCTTGATAAGAAGGAAGAAGAATGATTTACAGATAAAAACCAAAGGGTTTCTCACGCCAAAGGTATGAGCAGGGTTTCACCTGAAAGGCTCAGCAGCTGTGTGATTTGCACAGATCACATGGTGTCAGAAGGATCTCTGACACCTGCACAGTCTGGCAAATGGCCCTGTGCTCGCTGGGCTGCTTGACCGTGACCACAACACCAATGCAGAGGGGAAGAGGGGACTGGGAAGCAGGCTTAATGCATCCTGCCTTGTCACCCATGCTCTTCCTCACCCTGCCGCTGGCTGCTTGCCTGCCTGCAGGTTGTCCTGAAGGTTTGTGGGGGACAGTTGAGGTCAGTGCAAGGCCAGCCCAAGGATGGATACACTTTCTCATGCACTCTGATCTGCCCACGCACCAGGGGTTAGAGCCTAGTAGGGAGCTGTTATGGAAAAGCAGGCTCATGTCAGAGCCTGGCCTAACATTAGACCTGGATGGGAAAAAATCCCAAGCCAGAAACTGCATGCAGGCTGTAGAGCTGTATTTTTGTATTGGTTTGATATGTTTGCAACATGTGAAACAGCACAGTGGTTGGGGAAGGACAGGCAGAACAACAATTCTTGCCAGAATGCTTGGTTTTGTTAAAATTTGAATGACAGGTAAAACAGTGACTTCTTGGCTGTTGAAGTGTCAGGGTTTTTTTTTTTTTTCTTCAAAGAGAATTAAGAGAGAAAAGACTTGAAGAAATGAACATACTCATGTTTTTCTGTCTAATAGTCAGCCAGCCTGCTTGCAGCCGGGGTGCCATGGTGATCTGAGCATTTTAAGGTGATAAATAATGGTAATAAAGAAGCTGTCAGGCTCCCAGGCACTACAGTCAATTGTACAGCGAAGTACAGGTCGTGGTAGCTGCACACGAGGGACTGATTTAACCTCAGGTGTTGGTGTTTGGACAGTGTCCTGTTTTGTAATCAGATTGTCTGGAAAGATCTCGTAAGGCAAAGCATCAGCTGAGCAGAGTATTTCCAACATGCCAGAGAGCTGAGGCAGGTCTCGGAGGCTGATGTGCCATCGTTTTATAACACGGGCTTTTATATAAAAGTTTTTATTAAAAAATGTCTGTTTTCTGTGGGCCTAGCATGTGATCTCATGAGCCAGACCACTGTCAACCCAATTTTGAAAGGTGCCTTTAAGTCTCTAACCAATGTTATTGTTTAAGTCAACGCGAAGCTCTTAGGAATGTGCTGCTGTGCTCGCTCATGGGGAGTTGTGAAGCTGAATCAGGTCCTCCCCCTGCTCTTTGGAGGATTATATCCCAGTAGGGACAGATGAGAGAGAGATTTCTTGAAATTCTCTTCCTACACTGGAGTTAAAGAAACCTTCCCAAGTGATTCATGCCAAGTTTGCTTTCACTGGAGTCATCCAGGTGACTGGATGTAGGTATGTAGGCTTGGGGCAAGAACTGGTATTGTGGGAAGGTCCGGAAGATTGCTCATTGTGAATAAACCTCAGGGTGTTAATGATGGGTGCTATGGAAGCACAATCCTAATTCAGTAGTTTTATCTGACCCATAGTGAAATACAGACAGGGCTTTGTGTTTTAGGGTCCTGTTTGAACTGCTGTGGCGGGATTACTTTCGATTCGTGGCCCTGAAGTATGGCAAAAGGATTTTCTCATTAAGAGGTGTGTATGGATCACCATATTTGGAGGGGAAGGGTACAGTCTTACAACAGCGAAGGTAAGAGAAGAGGCTGCTGGCACTGTGTTGCGCAAATGTTCTCCTCATAAGCTCCTATGTCACCAGCCCAGGACATTGCCGGGGACTTACTCTGAGCGCAGAAATGCCTCAGCACCACAGATCTGGACAATGGGTAGACACTGAGACTTTTAACCCAAATCTGATGAGATACGGGGAGTGTTATTAGCACATGTCACTGCAGCACAATAAGAGTAAAGATGCGGTTTCTGCAGACACTCCACCTTGGAGAGAATCCAGGCTTGCCCAGGTTCACCAGAGAATCTGGGACAGAGCAGGAACCAACCCAGCAGTGTGAATCCCAAAGCACTGGAGACTTTCTGCCTTGCACAACATCAGGGGATTCAGAGTAAAATTAAACAAGAAGACAATAGTTTGGGCCAGAGCACATCTCCAGCCACTTGCGAGGTCTGAGTCTTTTTAAAGTCAAAATGAAAGAGCAAACACCAACAAAACCAATAATCAAATTAGGGCTTGAGCATCCTCCTTGTGCAGAAGGCATCCCTTTGTAACCCTTGAAAGGAGGAACAGGTCATCTCTAAACCCTTGCAGAAGGAATGTGGCTTGTTTGTAAGACCCCTTAAGCTTCATCCTAACGTCTTGTGCCAGCCAAGGCACCTCTGGCTGTCGTTTCATTCATCACTGCCTGCGTCAGCATTTGTATTCATTGGCTGTTCATGTGTTTCCTCAATAGGGCTTCAAAGTAAAGATATCCCCTGGAAGAAGGACCTTCAGCTCTTTGACTGTTGGAAAGGTCAGTAGAAAATCACCGCTTTGGCTAAGCGTGCCTTCGGTTTCCATGCGGGCGCATGCTGACGCGTGCCCTAACACCAACTCGGATTTATGTAGGGGAACTGTCTGCATGACCAGGCCCTGTCACTTAAACCCTCACCACCAAACGAGTCCAGCCCCTCGGTTCAGTGCGAGTGCAGGACGCTCGGCTTCCCTTCCGTGCCGGAGCACCATCCAGCGGCAGGCCCAGCGCGTATCGTGAATGGCCAGGCTCTGTCGGCTGCTGCATGCTGTGCGAAGTGCATTGCACTTACATTTTCCTGCCCGGGGGGAAGTGTTCATAACCTGCTGGTCCCTTCTGCTTAGTCACACTGGGGCTGACCAACCCTTCTTGTCAATGCTAGGTTGCCATGCCTGCTGCGTTTTGTTCTTCTGATTGATTTTGGTTAGTTTAAAGCAGCGTTATGTTAAATCACATCTTTTGTTATACCACAGCCTTTTACTATGCTTGCTTTTCTTTAGCTTTTATAACTTTGTCACGTGAATAGCGAGTATAACATCTCAAATTAAAACTTGGAGGGACTAACAGATTGAAGTAGCAGATTCAGTGAAATACACACCTATGTATCGTTCTTCACACTTATGCCTTGTGTGTCCATTTGCACACAGGTACAGGGAATCTTTTCCTTAGCAACAGACAAGGCTCTCTGCTTTTCAGGTACTAACCCCAGGGGCTTCGTACATTCCTATCTGCTATTAGTCCCCTGTCAAGAACCTTGCTGTTCTTGGCCCAGCTCACTACGGTCTGTATATGTATTTTGCTCTGCAAAATTCCCTGCAAGACATCTGATTCTTTGTTTCCCAGTCTGAGGTTTTTTCCTGTACCTTTTTTTTTTTCTTGCCAAAAATTCTCCTCATTTTCAGTATAAATTCCCATTTAATTTCCAGTGGATCTTAGTGGCTGCAAGCCAGCTAAGCCTCACTGCAACCTCTCCCTGCTGCTGTACACTGGCACGGTCGTACCTGCTTGGATGGCTGTGAATGCGTGACCACAGCCTGGTTTCTGAGTGCCAAAAAATGTCAGCTTATCCCAGTGCTGTCTTTTACTCTGCAGAGGGGAAAACCGGGGTTCCGTTTGTCGACGCCAACATGCGGGAGCTGGCTGCGACGGGCTTCATGTCTAACAGAGGGCGGCAGAATGTCGCCAGCTTTCTCACCAAGGACCTGGGCCTGGACTGGAGGATGGGGGCAGAGTGGTTCGAATACCTGCTGGTAAGACTGAACGCTTGGTGTGTCTGGAGTCGTTTGTGCTCTCTGCCCTGAGTGACAGAGAACAGCTCTGCCTCACAAGGCAGGATGCAGAAGACGATCTGTAATTTTAAGGCTGGTACAAATGCCCGTATGTACTGCTTGCACGGTATGTGCTTCCCAGAGCTCCTGTAGGAAAAGGGAATCCATCAACCAAGATGTAGCTAGGAAGTTTGCAGTGATAGTTTTAATCCTCTGTGTAGGGTTTTAGCCAGAGATCTGTCACATTTGAGAAAACTTCCAAATTATGTTAACGGTGCTCTGATCTGCTCACCCCAGAGGCTGGGGAGGAGGACAGCCCAGAAATAGAACCTAAAGAGAGATGTGTTCTGGTTACTGGAGCCAGTGCTGGCACAGTGTCTTGGCATTGATGGCTGTGGACAGGGAAGTCATCTAGTCAAGAACAGGCGAGTATGGACAATAGCTGGATCAGCTTCCAGCGAGCTCCACCCTGGCTGGAGGCATCCTTCGTCCTGGTGAGTCACAGGCCTCCTGCCAACTGGAGTGCCAATTCCTTTCTCATATGCCAATTGAGCTCAGTTAATATGCGGGTTGCTTCTCAGTCCTCAGTCCCGTAGCATCTTCCTGACCAAGCTGGCCGTCCCTGGAGCAGAGGCACGGGCTCTGTGCCTCTGCGCAGCTCCTGGTGTCTTTGCTTGAGGCCGTTATCTCTGGTGATGCTGGTGGAGGGGCTGTCAGTAGCACCAAGCCTAAGGGTGAAAACTGAGGCTGAGGAGGTCATAATCTGCATTTGTTCTTCACCAGACTGAACGGAACAGACCAAAAAAGACTCCTATTGGCCTCACACTGCGGGTCTTGTCTGTAGGATACAAGAGGCTATCGGCAGTCAGGAAACTTCCCGCTCACTAGGGTGGCTGGAGGTACAGAGAGAGCCCAGTCACCTCGCCGGGAGCTGCAAGAGCCTTTTTTGTGAACACACATTTTTTGGGGGCTTCCTTGGAGCTGGGCTCTGATGTGGCTTTGTCTGCGGAGCCCTACAGGAAGATCCGGGTGCTCTTCCCATTGCCGTGACTCATGCCAGTGCTGTGAGCAGGGGTGAGCTTGCAGAGTAACACAGGGAAGGGCTTCTGTGGGACCCTCCAGAAAGCGGTGTCGGTAGCTCCACGCAGTGATCTCTCCTACAGCGAGAGCCCTCAGCAAGTGGCACCAGAGAACTCGTATCGGGAAAGTGGTGGCCTTATCCTTCATATCCTTGCTGGAACATGGGATGGAAAATGTTACCTGGAGTGCGTGTCTCTTGCAATTTCAGTGGGTTGTAGAGGATAGCTGATGCCCCGCAAGCTTTGTAGCAGCGAATTGCCAGGCAGGGGCTGCATTTCCGTATGGATCACCTGACTCCTGTAGCCGGAGCGCGTTGTACGCGACACACATCCTCCAGAAGAAGGGTACAGCGCGCACAAACGTGTCTGCCCGTGCCTGTTGTGCAGACAGCGGGACCGTTTTGACTGTTGCGGAGTATCTGGCGTTTGGTGGCATCTATTGGCTTTTGCTTTCGGCGCAGTTACAGGGGTGACTTCATTCCGCAGAGAGGGCAGCTTGCCTCCTGTGCAGGCAAGCCTCACGCCCCAGGTTCTGTTGGAGCTGGGATTCAGGAACAGAGGCTTTGCTCTGATGGGTGGGCAGCCTTGTCTTCCTCAGGCAGGAGATTTGTTCGCTTTGCAGTCAGACTCCAAGGGCCACAGGAGATTCCGGGTCCTATTCCCTGAGCGATTCCCACGCTAGGAGGATGCTCCCTGGGTTACTCTGGTTTATTCCTGTGGGCATAAACGTTACCAGCCTGGCCGGAAGCAGGATTTGGCACACGGCATTAGCCCTTTCACCTTGGGAAGCCCCAGATGCTGGCTGCCACTGCAGGTTGGTGTGGCACAGGCTTGTGTCGTTCTGCCCCTTCCTCCCAGCTTGTGTCCCGTTGATATATGGCTTGACAGCTCTGCTACTGGTGTCATCCCCGGAGTGACATACAGGAGACATCCCTTTGGTGGGGGAGATATGCCTGTGGAATGGTAAAGGCCAGTACAGAGCTCAAACTGGTCTTACAAAGGGAAAATGATGCGTTTTCCATCTCTGGTTTGTCCACCAAAGGCCCACTGAGTGTTTGCCTGTGAAGGAGAGGTGTTTGCCATCCACACCAGCCGGGCAGGGAGACCAAGGCCAGCTCTCTGCAACCCGCTGAAGCCAGGGGAAAGGCTGGAGACCTCGGGTGTCCTGAACAGAGAATCTCTCTGCCGTTTCATCCACAGGGTCAGGCCCCAAGGAAAGGGAGAGAAACAAAGGGAAGAGAATGCCAGGAAGGGGCAAGGCTGATGGGGAAGTGAGCCTGCCTCCTCCAGTCCCCCTTGGATTTGCCCTCACCTCCCACACACGCTTTCCTGCGCATGAATGGCACAGTCAGGCCTCGGATGGCAGCTTTCTCCCTCTCCTTACCCCACCAGCTGGAGGAAGTGCTGCTGGGAAGGGGAGGCCGGGTGCCCAGTGAGCCCAGCTTTCGGATGCCGTTGCGGAGAAGGGGGATGGGAGGGTGTCCCAGCCCCCCTCCCCGTGCTCTCGGCCATCTGAGGACATCAAGCTCCACCCTATAAGGAGCAGCTGAGATTTTTGGAAGCATCACCGTGTGGACTGGTTGTGGCAGTAAAGGGAGAACAGCACCGAACCTGCTTAGTGACCTGTCTTTGCAAACTCTACAGCAGCGGGCAGCGCTATGCTTTCCCAAGGCCCACACCTCTCCTAGGAATGCTCAGTGATCCCACGCCCTGTTTGCTATCACTGCCACTCCCCCCCTGAGCTAGGAATTGTTCTACAACTGGAAGGCTTCAGATGTTGGATTTAGGCCACCCTGCCCAGCTGAGAGCACTCAGACAAACCCCGTTCTGCCCTCCTTGTGCCTGTCTCAGCAGCCTTGCTCTGTTTTACAGAAGAGCTCGAGAGGTTTGTATCTGTTTAGGTGTAGAGTAACTAGACGATGTGCAGCCTGCTGAGTACATCAGGAGAGCTGTGGTGTTTCCCAGAGCAGAGCACCTCTCTCTGTGAGTTGAGGCTTATGGCCTGGGAAGGTGAAGTGCAGCAGGGAAATACCTGCTGTGTTTGTACGGGCTGCACCTCAGTACGCTCTGTGGGGCCACTCTCTGCAGCCTGAGTCTGATTTTTCCCCAGTCTGCCCCATAGAATCTGCAGAGGTGATTTTGTTAGTCGTGGTCAGGAGGAATTTTCTCTCCTAATTGAAATGTACTGGGCTACTGTTTCTTAGAATATGAGCGCTCAAAAGCCATGGAGGGTGCCAGATGGTGGCAGAAAGAGAAGGTTTAGGTTTCATAGAATCACAGAATGCTTTGGGTTGGAAGGGACCTTAAAGATCATCCAGTTCCAACCCCCCTGCCATGGGCAGGGTCACCTTCCACTAGACCAGGTTGCTCAAAGCCTCATCCAGCCTGGCCTTGAACACTTCCAGGGATGGGGCATCCACAGCTTCTCTGGGCAACCTGTTCCAGTGCCTCCCCACCCTCTCCGGGAAGAACTTCCTGCTATCTAATGTAAACCTCCCCACTTTCAATTTAAACCCATTACCCCTTGTCCTGTCACTACAGACCCTTGTAAAAAGTCCCTCCCAGCTTCCGTGTAGCCCCTTCAGGTACTGGAAGGCTGCAATAAGGTCTCCCCGGAGCCTCCTCTTCTCCAGGCTGAACAAGCCCAACTCTCTCAGCCTGTCCCCATAGCAGAGGTGCTCCAGCCCTCTGAGCATCTTCGTGGCCTCCTCTGGACTCGAGCTCTTCTGTTTGTTTATTTAAAGGAAACAGGGACTTTGGTTAGACCGTGACCTACCTCCTTGACCTAAGGCCCACGAAGTGAAGCGGCCTGGGAAGCTGATCCTGTCTGTACAAACAGCCATGCACCATGGTTCTCTTCTGAGCCAAGTGGCTGTACCTACACGGGAGAGCTCGGACTACCCTGGAGTGGCCAGGCTGGTTCCCATGCAAGGAATTCTTCCCTTGAGAGAGGGGGCGGATGGGGAGAGGAGATTCATCAAGTGCCAGCCCAGCTCTTACCGTTTCCTTCCTCTGTTCTCAAGGTGGATTACGACGTTTGTAGCAATTACGGCAACTGGTTATATAGCGCTGGTGTTGGCAATGACCCACGGGACAACAGGAAGTTTAACATGATTAAGCAAGGCCTGGATTACGATGGCAATGTAAGTCTTGTTTGGCTGTCTTATGGTGAACAGCGCAGCCAAGCATATGTGGTAGTTTCAGGGAGCAGAGATCAATCTGCTGTGTGGATACTGCTGCAAAATGAGTTCTGTGATCTCCTTGCCAACAGTCAGGCGGGTTCCTGCTGTTGTGCAGGAAGATCTGACGTTTACAGTCTGCTGCCGTCCCCCAAGAGGCCGGTGCTCTGTACGCCCGCCCTGCCCGGACCTTGGTCTACGTGTTTAGTGGTTCATCCCCATTTCTTCCGGGTAGCAGCCACATCCCATCTCGCACAGCCATTTCCTCAAGCACAGAGCAGCTTCTTGGAGAACTCGGAAGTGATGAGAGACAGAGCTGCTCCTCAGGAGGTCCTGAGGAGTAGATTAAACCTGTGACTCCTCTGACTATCCTCTGTAAGTGGTGGGAGCGGATAAATTGCCCTTTCCTTGTGCTTAGCCAGGGTTCAATTCCAGATCACTCATTTCCACCCTATTCCTTAGCATCATGGCAAGCTGTGCTGTTGCTTTTCAGCACTGTAGCTGGCAGGACTTGGCATGGAATTAGAAATTAGTCCTAGTAGGGGATTGTGGTGGATTGGCCCTGGCAGGAGGCCAAGTGCCCACCAAAGCCACTCCCTCACTGCCCTCCTCAGCTGGGCAGGGGAGGGGAAATAGGAAGAAAAGCTCATGGGTTGAGGTGAGGACAAGGGGAGATCAGTCACCAGTTACCATCACAGGCAAAAGACCCTGAACTTGAGAAAATTAGTGTAATTTATTACCAATCAAACCAGACTTACATAGTGAGAAATAAAACCAAATCT